TATAATACAATATAATATAATATAATATAATATAATATAATATAATATAATATAATATAATATAATATAATATAATATAATACAATATAATAAATATAATGTCATGATATATAATATATAATATAATACAATACAATATAATATAATAATAATATAATATAATATAATAAATAATATAATATAATATTTCTTAACATGTGTGTTTGGTGTAGGAGATTTGGTGTTGATGGATAACATCGTGAGACACCGCGGCAGCAGCCACAGCGGGGTGTCTGTGAGGCCTTTGATTTATATGTCTTTAGTAGACAGAAGGTTCTGCGGGGGTGAGAAGGTTGGGAGCAAGACGCACTTTCTTAACTGGCAGCAATATCCTCAACTGCCTCAGCTGCAGCAGCAGCAGCAGCAGCAGCAGCAACAGCAGCAGCAGCAACACAAACAACAGAAACATTTACACCAAATCCAGCAACAGGAACAGAAACAACTGCAACAGGAACGATGTCAGCAGCAGAAAGAGAAACAACGTGAAGAGCAGCAGCAAGAACAGAATGAGGACGAGGAGGAGCAGCAGCAGGAGCAGCAGGGGCAGCAAGAGCAGCAACTGGGGACGGAGCAGCAGCAAGAAGCTGCTGCTGAAGAGACAGAGCCTGCTGCAGCAGCAGCAGCAGCAGCAGCTTGCGACCAGGGAAAGCCTGAGGAACGCGAGGAGTCTCCTCGTGCTGCGGAGGTAGCAGAGACTGAGAAGCAGCAGCAGCAGCAGCAGCAGCAGCATAAGCAACAGCAGCAGGAGGATGAGGAGTGCGTCTTAGAGCTAACAGAGGCAGAGACAGCCGCAACAAATCTTGAGGAGATCTGCGCAGTAAACAGCATCGATATCTCTGATTTGCTGCCACCAGGCACCGAACAGCAGCAGCAGCAGCAGCAGCAGCAGCAGTGCTGCGAGAGGCTGCCTGCCACAGCTGACTCCCCAGCGAAGGTTCGGGTGTCTCTACACCGCATGAAGCAGCATCTGCAGCGGCTGCTGCTGTACCGCTACATGGTATACAAGCAGCAGCAAACGTCACTGCAGGACGTCTAGCGAGAGAAAGAGCTAGCTGCTGCTGATGCTCAATTCACTTCAGCTGCTGCTGCTGCTGCTGCTGCAGCTGCTACTTGCTGCTGTTCCGTGCGCATTAACGACAGAGGGAGAGCTCTAGCAAGCTCCAGAGGGATAGGGGTACAGCTAGCTGCGCTAGCTAGCCAGGTAGCCACCCCTTCAGCTAGCTCCCCTTGCAGCTGCAGCTGCAGCTGCCGCTTCCACAGCAGTAGCAGCAGCAGCAGCAGCAAGACCTGGCTGGCGCAGCTAGTTACCGTTTCAACAAGCCGCAAGAGCACTGGCTAGTTGCCTTCGTTAATGGCTAGCTAGCTAGCTAGCTAGTTAGCTAGTTAGCTAGCTAGCCAGGTGCCAGCGGCGGAGGGGGCCCACAGAGATGTCTTTGTGAGCTCCCCAACCCTGTACAGCCATTGACTTCAATGTATCATCTGTCTCCTCGCTGCTACACGGCTTTCTAGCTAGCTGCAGCTAGCTAGCTAGGCAGTTAGCGTGCTGTGGCTACCTATCGAGCTAGCTATGCCTAGCTAGCTAACTACCCAGCTAGCTAGACCCATCTAGCTAGCCATCCAGCACGCTGGCTAGCTAGCCAGCTGGATACAGCGACATGTCAACGCGGGCAGCCCCTGCTGCGCCGCATTGGAGCAGTAGGCTGTGTAGCTTGTTAGGATCCAGCCAGCTGTAGCTAGTTAGGAGACAGCTAGCTGCAACTAGCGGAGGATAGCGAGGTGTACCTACTAAGGGGCAGCTAGCTGCGGCTAGCTGGGGGTCAGTTAGCTGTAACTTGTTAGGGGCCAAGTAGCTGTAGCTAGCCACGGCCCAGCTAGCTGTAGCTAGCTGTAGCTAGCTGTGGATAGTTAGGCCAGCTAGCTGTACATAGTGAAGTTAAAAGCCTGGGCAGCACAAGGAACGGGAGGCTCAGGAAGCTGCTGATTCTGCTGCAGCGGCAGCAGTAGCTGCTGCTGCTGCTGGCATGGGTGTCTGGCTTTAGGTTGCTGCAGCAAACTGCTGTGGCACTACAGCAGCAACTCCACCGCCCATGTGGGGTCTGCTGCAGAGACACCAGGAGTCGAGATAAGCACTCGGTAGCAAGGAGCAGCAAAGTGCTGCTGCTGCTGCTGCTGTTGCTGCTGCAGTTCGTCTGCTTCCGTCGTCTGCTGCAGCAGAGCCGCCAATTGTCTTCGAATCTCCTCGTGCTGCTGCTGCACTTGTGCTGCTGCTTGCTGCTCCGGATTGGATGCAGCTGCAGCAGCAGAGGACTCTTCTGCAGCACCGTCAGACTCATCATCATCATCATCAGCAGCAGCAGCTGCTGCAGCAGCAATGAATTCCTTTTGTTGCTGGCGGAGTTCATCTTGTTGGGGATCCAGGGGCAAAGAAGACACGGAAAAATGCAACTGCTGCTGCTGCTGCTGCTGCTGCTGCTGCTGCTGCTGCTGCTGCTGCTGCTGCTGCTGCTGCCCTTGGCCTCTCTTCAGAACTGCTGCGAGTGGCTGTGTACGTACACCCCAAACGGCCACGTGGGAAACTGCAGAAGCGCAGCATCAGCAGCAGCAGCACAGCGTCAGCAGCAGCAGCAGCATAGAGTGGAGTGTATAGACAGCAGCAAAGTGAAGAGCAGGAAGCAAATACATGCAAATCTTACTTGTTGTGTTTAGCTGCTCTGCTGCTGCGAGCGCCCCAAACCTCCACGGAGCCCCGGGGCCCCCCACAGGCAGCGGTGCTGCTTCAGACCAAATAACAAGGCGGCTCCTTCCTATTCTGCTGCTGCTGCTGCTGCTGCTGCTGCTCTTAGGGTCGTGCTGCTGCTGCTGCTGCTGCTGCTGCTCCTGCTGCTGCAGCAGGCGCGCTTTAATTCTGAGATAGAGGAAGCTGCCCCGTTTATAATTAAAAGAGAGTCCGTCGTCAAGGTAAAGGCGGCCTTCAGCGCTGCCGTCCTCCCTCAGGTACACATGCAGCTGCAGCACAGCAGCAGCAGCAGCAGCAGCAGCAGTAGCAGCAGCAATTGCAGCAGCAAGAGCAACACCGCAGCAGCAGCGGGAGCGCACTAGCCTTCAAAGGAAGCTCCGTTGACTTCCATTCTTCATTATGCCAACCCTAAACCCTAAACCCTAAACCCTAAACCCTAATCCCCAAACCCTACACCCTATACCCTAAACCCTAAACCCTAAACCCTAAACCCTAATTACTGTGAGGGGCTTCTGGAAGCAGAGAAGGACAGATCGCGCTGCAGCTTCGCGGGTGGCTACGACGGACCCCCCCCTAACGAATACAGGAATGCGCCGCAACGTCAGTGGAAAGCAGCAGCAGCAGCAGCTGCTGCTGCTGCTCCTGCTGCTACCATGCTTTGCTGCTGCTGATCCTGCTGCTGCTGCAGGCTCGGCTGCTGCGTGGTGAGGCCCCGTGCTGCCACCGCTGCAGCAAATTGCACCCGTATGCACGTCGTACCTGCAGCATCACACACGAAAAGGAGGCATCTGCTGTTGCTGCTGCTGCTGCTTCTACTGCTGCTGCTGCTTCTACTGATGCTGAATTTTTTCTGCTGCTGCTGCAGGTGCTGTATTTGTGGGAGTACCCACCACAGAAAGCCGCGGGGAAGATGTAACTCGATCATCTCAAGTTGCTGCTGCTGCTGCTGCTGCTGTTGCTGCTGCTGCTGGCTTCTCTCAGTCAGCATGGAGTGAACTACGGGCTGTACGTACACCTGACTACCCACAAGAAACGACTGTACGTTGCTGCTGCTGCTGCTGTTGCTGCTGCTGCTGGCTGAGTCCAGCCACCAGGTGGGGCGAACGATAGGGTCCCCCAAAAGAGAATATTCCATAAAGAGAGTATACCTGCAGCAGCAACACGCCGTACCAGCAGCAGCAGCAGCAGCAGCAGCAGCAGCAGCAGCAACAGCATCAAGCTGAACAGCAGCTGCACCAGCCGCTGCCCAAACAACCAGCAGCAGCAGGCCTACCCCATCCCGCAGCCACCGAGCAGCAGCAGCACGAGAGCAGCAGCAGCAACAGCACAACAGCAGCAAGACAGCAGCAGCAAGACAGCAGCACCAGGGTGTGCTGTCTCACCAGTACGGCAGTAACCTGTAGCGGTCCAGCACAGCGCTGCGTACGAAGGGCAGCAGCAAAATGTCTCTGAAGGCCTCTCTATTTGCTGCAGCTTTCTCGCAATGAACTCTGTAAAAAGGGAGCCACACGCCGAGCTGCTGCCACCGCAGCAGCAACTCAGGAGAGCAGCTGCCCACAAAACCCCCCACGTCAGCCCCTAATACACATAAGCAGCAGCAACAGCCGCAGCAGTAATAGTAGTAGCAGCAGCAACAGAAGAAGCAGCACGCGCCCACACATATACAAAGCCTGCGGCATTGTCTCCTCGTTATCTGCTACTGCTGCTGCTGTTGCTGCTCCATCTGCTGCTGCTACCACTGTTATTACGGCTTCTGCGTTTGTTGTTGCTGCAGCCTCTGCAGCCTCTGCAGCCTCTGCTGTTGCTGCTGCTGCTGCTGCTGCTAGGGCTTACCCACAGGCGACTGTCCGCATGCAGCAGCAGACAGCACCATCGGCACAACGCAGCGGAGGTGGGGCCACGAGGCCTCATTATCCCCCGTCCATAGAAACGCCCAACGCCAAGACCCCAAAAACCCAGCCCTGCAGCAGCAGCAGCAGCAGCAGCAGCAGCAGCAGCAGTAGAAAAAGCAGCAGCAGCAGCAGTAGAAAAAGCAGCAGCAGCAGCAGTAGAAAAAGCAACAGAAGTAGCAGCAGCACCAGCAGCAGCGGTGACGGCAACAGCGGTAGCAGCAGCGGTGGCGGCAGCAGCGGTGGTAGCAGCAGCAGCAGTAGCAGCAGTATGAGCAGCAGCGGTGGTGGTGGCAGCAGCAGCGGCAGCAGAAGAGGCGGAAGCGGCAGTAGTAGCAGCGGCAGCAGCAAAAGCAGCAGCAGCACAAACGGCGCAGCACAGTAGGAGGGAGAATGCCAGCATCAGAGACAGCAGCTGCAGCAACAGCCACAGCAGCAACATCAGCAACCGCAGCAGCAACCCAAGAAGCAGCTTGCAGCTACCTGAGCAGCTAGCTATCTGGATAGCTTGCTGCCCAACTATCTAGCTAGCTAAGCAGCTAGCTGAACTGCTAGCTAGCTAGCTGAGCTGCTAGCTAGCTAGCTAGCTAGCTAGCCAGAGTACCTGGAGAGAATGAAAGGCCTGAGGGTCCCGTTAGAGCGCTGCAGCAAACCGTCATAGGAAGCCTGCTGCTGCAGCAAACCGTAAATATTATGCATTTGCCAGTGCTCCACCAGATCCTCCCCATTAGCAGCAGCTGCTGCATCCGCTGCTGCTGCTGCTGCTGCAGCAGCGGCTGCTGCTGCAGCTGCTGCAGCAGGGGATGCAGCAGCACGTGCCTCAGCAATAGAACTAGCAGCAGGAGCCGCCGCCCCCTCAGCCGCATCCGCCTCATGAGCAGCAGCACCCGCCTCCACAGCAGCAGCAGCAGCAGCAGCAGCAACAGCAGCAGCAGCAGCAGCAGCAGGAGAAGGTTGTAGCTTGTGCAGCAGCAACCTAGGGAAGGTGAGTTCCTTCGAGCCGAAGACTGAGGGTTCATTCATATCATTCCACAGACCCAAGTTGCTAATTTGCTGCCAGCTCTTACCAACCCAAGACGCCCACCAAGCACGCGTCTGCAGCAGCAGCAGCAGCAGCAGCAACAGCAGCCGTGGCAGTGTAGGGAGCAGAGGAGGGAGCAGCAGCAGCAGAAGCAGCAGCAGCACAGGCAGTTTTACGGTCACAGGGAAGACACTCGTTGCAGCGGCAGCATATGCAGTGATTGCTGCTACTGCTGCTGTTGCTGCTGATCCTGCTGCTGCTGCTGCTCGTGCTGCTGCTGCTGCTGCTGCTGCAAGGGATTCTTTAAGGGGTCGTATGTCTTTATAAACAAACCGGAAAAGCAAAAGAGAAAGCAGCAGCAGACGAGACAAACAAACAAAACAAACAAAACAAATAAACAAATAAACAAACAAACAAATAAACAAATAAACAAACAAACAAACAAATAAACAAACAAAACAATAAAATTAATTTACTTTCTGCTGCAGGTAGTCTGGCCAAATGCAATAACCCGCCCAACTCCGCCCCACAAATGGAAGGCCTTGGCGCTGCACAGCAGCAGCAGCAGCAGCAGCAGCAGCAACAACAACAGCAGTAGCAGCAGCAGCAACAGCAGCAGCAGCAGCAGCAGAAGCAGCAACACCAGCAGAAACAGAAAAATAAGTGACGGTAGGAAGGTGCGGCGAAGCAGCAGCAGCAGCAGAAGCAGTTGAAAGATTCGGTGCAGCAGCAGCAAGAGCAGCAGGAAGATGCGGTGCAGCAACAACAGCGGCAGCAGCAGCAACGGAGAAGACATTGAGCAGCAAATAAAGAGAGAGACAGCCGAACAAATAAAAGGAGACAAACAAAATAGAGGCAGCGACAGCAGCAGAAAGACTCACGTTCACTGCAACAGCAATTTGCTGCTGCGCTGCCTCTTCAAACGGCTTGTAACCCATTTCTATACGCATGTGAGGGTCTGCTATAAGCACCTGAGCAGCAGCAGCAGCAGCAGCAGCAACAGCAGCATGAAGAGCAGCACAAGCAGTTACAGAACCAGCTGCAGCACAAGCGGCAGCATCATGAGCAGCATCAGTAGCATCAGCAGCATCAGTAGCATCAGCAGCAGCAGCTGCAGCATGAGCAGCAGCAGCAGCAGCAGCAGCAGCAGCAGCAGCAGCGTCAGCGTTTGTCTCACCAGGAGTCTTTGTTGTTTATTTAATATAGCTGCGAGCCGAGGGATATTAAATTTATTTCGGTTATACTCAAAATATCTGCATTGAGGTGTATGATCAATGTCAAGCCAAAGACAGTCCAAGGGAACAGCAGCACCGTCTAACCCGCGAACTGCTGCTAAAGCCCCACGCTGCAGCAGCAGCAGCAGCATAAGCAGCAGAAGGAGAAGGAGCAACAGCAGCAGAAGGGGAAGCAGCAGCAGCACAAGCAGCAGAAGCATGAGTGAGAGACAACCACGGGCATACGCAGCTACTGCTGCAGCTACTGCTGCAGCTACTCCTGCTGCTGCTGTACTTGTTGCAGCTGCTGCAGCTGCTGCAGCTGCTGCCGCTGCTGGAACTGTCTGTACTGTCTTTTGCTTTTGCTGCAGCTGTTTATGTGAGCGCATGCATGTATGTAGTAATATATATATATATATATATATATATATATATATATGTTTATTGATTCTAATTTATGTATATTTATATTTATTTATATTTATTTAATTTATTTTATTTATTTATATTTCTTACTGTGTCATTATAACCCCACTTCGACTGATGCTTTCCTACAGCAGCAGCAGGAGCAGCAGCAGCAAACCCCAGAGCTGCATGCAGCTGCCGATGTACATCTAGCGGAGAAGGCCCGCAGCAAAATAAACACTCAAAGACACCGCCTTCGCTACAAAACCAGCAACGAAGCATATCATCATCATCATCATTAGCAGCAGCAGCAGCAGCAGCAGGATGCTGCTGCTGCTGCTGCTGTTGCTGTTGCTGTTCTTTCATGGGCTGATGCTGATCGTTCATCTGTTGTTGCACGCACTGCTGTTGTTGTTGCCACCCCATGTGCTGCTGCTGTTGCTGTTGCTGCTGCTGCTGCTGCTGCTTGTTATAGTTTACTCTGAAGAATGTCTCTGCTGCGTTTATAAAGACGAAGGCAGAGGCATGAGGCTGATTTTTTGTTTTTGTTTGTTTGTGCAGAGCAAAGAGAAGCGGCATTGAAGCATAAAGAGCAGCAGGAGACTCGGGTTTCCAGCAGTAGCAATCTACATTAAACAACCTAAACAGCAGCAGCAGCAGCAGCAGCAGACGTGGACGCAGAAGCAGTAGTAGCAGCAGCAGCAGCAACAACAGCAACAGCAGAAATAGGAGCAAGAACAGAAGCATTGGGTGCAGCAGCACACACAAGGAGCTGCGCATGCAGCAGCAACAAGAATATTTGCAGCAGCAGCAGACATAGGAATGTCCGCTAACGGCAGCAGCAGCAGCAGCAGCAAATAGCATAAAAGAAGAACAGCAGCAAACAAAGCAAATACAACAGAGACAACAGCAGCAACAGAGACAGCAGCAACAACAGAGACAGCCGCAGCAACAGAGACAGCCGCAGCAACAGAAACAGCAGCAGCAACAGAAATAGCAGCAGCAACAGAGACAGCAGCAGCAAAAGAGACAGCAGCAGCAACAGAGACAGCAGCAGCAACAGAATAATAAAAAGAGAGACAGCAGCAAGATATACCTGTAAGGCTCTTCAAGATTCTTAAGGTTTGCTGCAGCAGAATGAGAGTACAGGCCGTATGCTGCAGCAGCACTAATGAAGGTGAGATCGCAGCCAATGCTGCAGCACCGATACAGCCGCTGCTGCTCAGATTGCTGCTGCTGCTCCTCCGTATACTGCAGCAGCTTCTCAATCGGGGCCCCAAGCAGCTGCTGCAGCTGCTGCTGCTGCGCTTCCGGTATCTCCCGCTGCTCCTCTTGCCTCAACATTGCAGCAACAGGAGGTGCAGCAGCAGCAGCAAACTCACAAGCAGCCGCACTAGGGCTCCTGTCCACGTCAAGAGCGTTTCTTAGTTTAGAAGGTAGCAGCTCTGCTGCTACTGCTGCTGCATCTGCTGCTGCAGCTGATTCTGCTGCTGCTGCTGCTTCTGCTGCTGCTTCGGCGAGGTCCGCTGCTGCTGCTGCTCTCACTGCTGCTCCGGCCCCCGCGGTGGCTGCTGCTGCTGCTGCTGCTGCTCCTTCTGCTTCTGCTACTTCACTTGCTGCTGCTGCTTTTGCCGCTGCTGTTTCTTCACTTGCTGCTGCTGCTTCTGCTGCTTCGCTTGCTGCTGCTGCTTCGCTCTTTCTGCGCTTGAGAGCAGCCCGGCTTGCAAGCGTCTTCTCCGTTGCTGCTGCTGCTGCATCAGCTGCTGCTGTGGCTGTTGCTGCTGCTTCTGCTGCCACCTGCGAGGCCTCTGCCTTAGCTACTGCTGCTTCTGCTGCGGCTTCTGCTGCTGCGTCTGCTGCAGCTTCTGCTGCAGGTGCCGCTGCAGCTTCTGCTGCTGCTTCAGCACGTGAAATCGATCCTGAGCTCTTTGCTGCCTTTGCTGCTGCTGCTGCTGCTGCTGCACTTAAGGGGCCGACGGCTTTAGATAGAAGGGAGAGATACTGCTCTAGCGAAAGGCCTCTTGCTGCTAAGGCTTCACGAAGGTCTCGCGGCTGCTGGTGGTGGTGGTGGTGATGCTGCTGATGCTGATGCTGCTGCTGCTGCTGGGGCTGATGCGGCTGATGCTGCTGGTGTTGCTGCTGCTCACGATGTTGATGCTGCTGCTCACGATGTTGATGCTGCTGCTGCTGCTGATGATGATGATGATGATGCTGATGCTGCCGCTGCTGTTGCTTCTGCTGCTGCTGCAGTTGCTGCTGCTGCTGCTGATGCTGATGATGATGATGATGATGATGATAATGATGATGCTTGCGCTTCTGGTCCTGGGGATGTTGCTGCTGTTGCTGTTGCTGTTGCTGCTGGTGTTGCTGCTGCTGTTCTTCCTCCTGCCGTTGTAGTTGCTGTTGCCTCCGGTGATAGTCATGGGTCGAAGCAGCAGCAGCAGCAGCAGCAGCATCAGAAGCAGCAGCAGCAGCAGCAGCACTCCATTGTGTGTTGCTGCTGCCTTCCCAGTTCAGCAGCTGCTGCGCGTTCAGCCGCTGCAGCTCTCTCCCATTGAGGTGTACAGACACCGCAAAAGGCAGATGATGCACACATACAGACAACTCAAACAAACTGCTGCTGCTGTCGCTGCTGCTGCTGCTGCTGCTGGTGCAAGGAAGGTCATACTCTGCGACGCTGCAGCAAGGGTGGGGG